GATCTGAGCAGAAGTTAAATATAAACATGACAGTGTACTTGCTGGATTTCAGCTTAGTTTAGAACCTGCTTTTTTTTTTTTAATTAAAAAGATTTTTTTTTAATGTAGAAGGAAAATCTTAGGAATTTTAATATAATCTGCAAGGAGAAACAACAAGTAGAAAACTATGTGCTTTTCAGGTATCTTAAAGGTAAATTTCCAAGGGCATTATTTATTAAATGTTGAAAGACAGAAACAATCTTACATTTTTGTCAGAAACTAACCAATCAGAATGGCCCTGAAATATATAGAATGCATAAGGATAGAAAACCAGTATAGGGGCCGGCCCGGTGGCGCACTGCTACAGTGCGCCGCTTGGGAAGTGCGGTGGCGCTCCCGCTGAGGGTTCGGATCCCACATACAGACCGGCCGCTCACTGGCTGAGCGAGGTGCGGGAGCAGCACCGAGGGTTGCGATCCCGTTGCCGGTCCCGGTCCGGTCCGGGCGCGACACTGAGGGTTGCGATCCGTTGCCGGTCACGAAAAAAGACAAAAAGGGAAAAAAAAAAAAAATAGAAAACCAGTATAGCAGTCCTTTCCACTCTGTTGTGTATTGTCCAAATTTCCTTTGATTTTCCCCCTCCATTTAGAAAATGTTCCTAAACGTGAAGATAGAACGGAAAGAGGTAGAGTAAAAGTTACAGCTTACTCCATTTATTTCATAATTATATTTTTTCCTTAATGTTTTTAAGTGGCATTTACCAGTATAGGTAAGATTAATTGTTACAATACAAACCAATTTGAAAATTAGTTTTTAAATTGAGCCATAATGTATAAAATCTTATGGTAATGTGCAGATCTGACTATATTCCAGTGCAGTTTTCATACCCACACCAATTGTCTTGTAATAATCGGGAATGCATCCTCTGTGTGGTGTTTGCAAGTTAATGCTATTTTGGGAATCACACCGGTATATCTAGTGGCTTTCCTGAGTGTATGTGGCTCATTGTTGATTATAATTTTATTTTGGAATTTTAGTTTAAGGGGATGGGGTAAGCCCTTTTGAATTCTTAGTTGTTAGGAGTTTTGATGGAAGATAGGGATGAATGAATGAGGAAAAGCATTAGAATGAGTAACAATAAGGAAACTAAGACAGAAATTCATCAAGTACATACTACAAAAATAACACAGATTCTTTTTTTTTTTTAAAGATGACCTGTAAGGGGATCTTGACCCTTGACTTGGTGTTATCAGCACCACACTCTCCCAAGTGAGCCATGAGCCGCGCCCCCCCCCCTTTTTAAATAACACAGATTCTTATACAAAATGTAAGAGACAAATCATTCACAAAAGAAATGCCTTAAAAATCTACCAAGTAACATTCACAGGTACAAATAAATAGATATATTTTAATTAAAAAGGTGAGCCCCAAGTCTATGGATGAGGGGCTTCTGGTTGGCTTCCAGACCCAGCTGTGCTGTATATCATGCAGGTGGCTTCAGTATGGCTAAGAGTATTTTAGCCACCTACCTCTTCTGAAGGGAAGGGGGAAGAATGACAAGCTATCTTCCAGTGCCTCCTCCATTTTCTTCCACTATTTCCTTTTTCCTCTTTCCTCTTCTGTATTTTCGTGGTCCCTTTTTGTGTACTCCCATTTCTATCTCTTCTAGTTGTCTCAAATTCAATTTCTCCTTCAGAATGGCTGTGAGACTTTCTTCTACCCATAGTACACAGAACTTAACCAACTGCTTGATAACGTAGTGTCTCTCATTACAGGGTCTCATTACAGTGTCTCTCATAGCACTGAGGATTTATTTATTTATTTTTTTACATTAAGGACTTTTTTTAGGAGTCCAGCATTTTTTCTGTTTTTATTTTTAAATTAGATTTTAAATAAAAACTTTACATGATACAGTTTAAAAAGACAAAATAGTAATAAAAGACCTATTATAAAATTTAGCAGTCTCCTGACTTGCCTCTTTTCCTTTTCCCCAGTTCTCCTCCCCAAAGACAACCATTTAAAAGTTCCCTCTGGCATTAACACATTTCCAAAGTCCTAAAAACTATGCATATATTGCTCTCTCTTGATTTGTTCATTCTAGACGTCGTCTATTGAATTCTTACCATGAAAGATATAACTAGCTCTCTACACTGCCCCCATTTTGCTTCTCCTTTCTCATCTTACATGAAGGATTTTTAATACAGAAGACTTTAAGTTTGAGAGAATGTCACTAGAATTTGAGTTCCACAAAGACAGGAATTTTTGTGTTTTTCTTGGTCCATTGTTCTAGCCCCAGTGCCCAGAATAGTGATTACTACAGGGGTGGCATTCAATAAATACTTGTTGAATAAATTATTGAAACATTAGCCTTAATAAAATTTTAATATCGTTTACTTACAAAAATTATTTTCGCAAAGCATTCTTTTTTTTTTTTTTTTTTTTTTTTTTTAAAAAGATGACCGGTAAGGGGATCTCAACCCTTGGCTTGGTGCTGTCAGCACCACGCTCAGCCAGTGAGCAAACCGGCCATCCCTATATAGGATCCGAACCCATGGCCTTGGTGTTATCATCACCGCACTCTACCGAGTGAGCCACGGGCCGGCCCTCGCAAAGCATTCTTGATGTTTTCAGTGTAGAGCAGTGATATGACTAGAATAGTGATTCTCAGGGAAGGAAGTTTTATATCCTGCTCTCCTCTATTGTCTTTTCCCTATTGCCTTCTTCAGTATGAGAAGCTCTGCTACTAAGAACCACTGAAAGAGACTGAAATTAGAATAAACAGCTCTAAGGAGATATAGAAGTAAATGGTAGATATGGAATGGTATGGTGAGAAGGAGAGTGAAATTACAAGTTTAAAATAAAATTAATACTAATGTGTCAATATTGATTAATAATTGTAACAAATGCACCACACTAATGTAACATGTCAATTACAAGAGAAACTGTATATGGGTGGGGGAGGGCATGGGAACTATCTGTACCTCGGCTCAATTTCTCTGTAAAACTAAAACCGCTATAAAAATAAAGGGGAGAAAATGGTGTAGGGGTGAGATTATTTGAACAGAGTATCAAGGTAGTTAATTAGCCAGAGTGTCAGAGCCAACTGGAAGGACAAGAAGCTGAGTTGATATAGGCAATGGGGAAAAGTCAGACTGATGGAAGCTTGGATTTCATGCAGTAGGTGTGTGGAGCCATTATGAATTATTGATGAGAGTGACAACAAAGTGAAAACAATTTTTTTTTTCTATTTGCCTTCTGTTTATAAAATGGATTGTAGCTTGAGATGAAGAAACATTAGAAACAGCGAACAAAGTTAGGAGATTGTTGTAATTTAAGGTGGTTTAGCTGTTTTGCTTGGTATGTTATCCAACGATGCCTTTTGAAGTCTGACGTCTCCACTTTATGAACTAGGGATGGATTGAGGCTGGGAGAAGAGTTCTGCACTAGGAACTAATAGACCAGGATTCTATTCCCTGCTTCTCTACTTTCTAAATTCATGATGATGGACAAATACTTAATTTCTCCTGGGCATCAATCATGTAGTATAAAATGAGGATAATGATCTGAAAGCAGGGGTCTAGAGCAGATCATCTTTTGGAGTCCTTCACAGCCTGTTATCCTTAGAGATGGTGTGAATGTATTTGCTTCCCAAGATTAATTCCTACAACTAGAGTGTTTTAAGAAGACAAAAGCCCATGTTGATATTAAATATTGCAAAATCTCAAATTTAAAGTTTACTGTTATGTGTATTAATTTCTATATTTAAAAATATGAATTCTCATTTTTATATGTGCTATGATTAGTATTTAGGTGGGGTGGGGGTTTTTTTTGTTATTATTAGACTGTAATAGCACTCAAATCGATGGACAAAACTTCAACCTGGGATACTTTTAGAGAAATATGAAGAATGTAAAAATTGTTATGAAAGGTAGTGTTTTATAAAGCTATAGACACAATTACACTAATATCATTTACTTAGTGTTATTCGAATTGTAATTTCTACCTTTTCTGGCCACTGAGTACACTATATGTATATTTATACTCATACAAAGTTTTTTTGTTTAGAAGGCTTTTATTTATTTATTTTTTGGTGATTGGCCAGTACAGGGATCTGATCCCTTGACTTTGGTGTTACAACACCATGCTGACCAGCCCATGTTTAGAAAGCTTAATACCAGTAGTTTTTTGGGTTCTCTCTCCTCTTTCTTTCCATCCCTGTCTATCTTTCTTTCTTTGTTGTTGTTTTCCCTTCTGTATGGATTGTTTCCTTTATCCCACCCCCCCTCCCGTTTTAATCCATCTGGAAACATGAAGAGGCAGCTGCTATGGTAACTGTGCTTTTTGGTTAATGAATAGCTGACTAACAAGATACATAAAACATATGCAAACTGTGCAGAGTTGGTTGCTATCAAAGCTGTAGGGATATAATACTTTTTCTTTTCCTTCTAAAACAAACTCTTAACTTTCCTGTGGTATATTGTTTTCTTTTCTTTTTTTTTTTTTTTTAAAGATGACTGGTAAGGGGATCTTAACCCTTGACTTGCTGTTGTCAGCACCACACTCTCCCAAGTGAGCCACAGGCTGGCCCTTATATTGTTTTCTAATTTACCATTCCTAATATTGCTACCATGAACCGTTCCTGTTTCTGCTTAGTCTGCACAATATTTCACTAGTGAATTTATGGGAGACTTCAGGTGCATAGAAGAGAAGAATTGATCAATTGGATTAAGAAGTAGATTTCCTTTAGACTCATATGTAGAAGAATAGGGACAGACTTTTTTACTAAATATTTGGTTTTTTGACCTATGACTACTTCTTTTCTCTTGCTCTTTGGCCACTAGTGCCCCTTTTGAGTTTCTCTCTGCAGTTAGAAACAGTAAGTAGTATGTTTCTTGAAGGTGTTTCTATCATAAAGGCCAGCTGCAACTGGAATATTGCATTCAGCTAAGCCTTGAAAATTCCTGTAATCTGTGCCATCCTGTCTCATACTGTTCCATCTCATAGTTGTCCTCTCTCTGCAGTGCTCTATGCCCAGGTCTCTGTGGCTGGGCTGCTCCAGCCTGGCGGACAGCATGCCTTCGCTGCGATGCCTGTATAACCCAGGGACTGGCGCACTCACAGCTTTCCAGGTACTTTCTCTGTCTCTGTGGGTTATGTGTGGGCATTAATGTGTGTTGTGTCTAATTCATTAGTATGTCCCTCCTTTCCCATGCTTTACTTATATTCACCTTTTCTCCTTCATATTGCCTGTATTTTATATCACTCAATACTCCTTTAATGATTAATTTTTAATGTAGATCCAGATTGATCCACTCTTAAACATTTTTATCATAATTGGTTTGCCAAAATTGACATAGCTCAACTTGACTGCTGATTTTCTGATCTAGTAGAAGTACGATAATAAATTTTAAAGTAATCTCAACAATAGCAATTCCATATGCAATGTTCGCTCTGGACCTACATAAAGGCAATTAGTATAATTAATTATAGTCAGTTGCGTGAACATCTTATGTTTTTCTTCTGATTATTAAAATATAAAGTGCTATACAGAGTGTCTCCTGGCTACTATACTATGTATTTTTTTAATATATAAAAACTTTTTTATTTATATCATGATTAATGTTTCTAGTTTCAAGTTGGAGAGGACTTTAATACCTTTGGGTATAGTATTCTGTTTGAGATAGTCCAGCTGGTATTATATGGATTGATGGATTCTAGTTCCCCTCAGCCTTTCTTAGAGGCCAGGAGATCAGTTCCAGGATGTGAGCGGAAGCTATAGAGGAAAAAAATGGAAAACTGTAGAAGAAAATGTAAGAAAGAGCTTAGTACCATTGCTTACAAATTAAGGTACCATATATGATGGTTTTCTTGGCTGAAGTGTTATCTATCCACCTAAGGTATTTGGAATTTGTGTTTAGCATTTTATTGTAAGATACAGCAAATTAGTTTTTTTGTTTTTAACCTATGTATTTCATATTCTGTTTAGAAGAATTTCAAAGATAAGCTGTATCAGAATGCTTATGACCAAGTCTTAGTTAAAAGAGAACTGAAGTATTCCACATTCCTGATCTGAGCTAGCAGTTGCTTGTCTTTAATGATACTATTTTACTGATGATAATGTTGGAGATTTCCATTTTTCCTTTGCAAAATTTAATATTAAACTTCCCTTGCTTGTACTGTGAGATACAAAATAGTAAAGAACATAGGCTCTAAAATTAGCTTAAAAAAGTCTTAAATACTGTCTTTGTCACTAGTGGTATGATCTTGAACAAGGTGTTTCACTCTGATCCTCATTTTCCTCATCTCTAAATGGAGACTTTGGTAAGGGCATGCTTTTATCATCATCATTATCATCATTATAAATATTATTGCTATTATTGTTAGAGAATATTGATATCCTGAGAGTGTCAATTTATTTCAAAATGAAATATCTTACATTTTAAACTATATATTATACTGACTTAAGGTTCTGCCCTTGAGTAACTCTTAGTCTAGCCTATTGGTTTTTAATCTTTTGGGGGGCTGCAGTGAGTAAAGCCAATCTGCAGAGTCTGAGAGAATAGTCCCTATGGGACTGCCCTTACTTCAGAAACCATTGCAAACCAGTGGTTTAGGAGTCCCTGCAACCACTCTTAGGTTTGATAATTTGCTAGAAAGGACTCATAGAACTCACTGAAAGCATTTAAACTCACAGTTTATAACAGGGAAAAAATACAGGTTAAAATTAGCCAGAAGAAGAGACAAATAGGGCAGAATCTGGGAGGGGTCCAAATATAGAACTTCATGTCATCTTCTCCCCATGGAGTTATGGATGGTGTCAGTGCTTCCCAGCCACAGTGTGTGACAATATATACGCAGAGTATTACCAACCATGAACCTCATGTTAGCCTGAGGTGTTCAGAGGTTTTATTGGGGCTCAATTACATACTGCCCACATCACTGACCTTTAGTCTACAGCCACTCCATTAGCTCACACTAATCTTTTTACCAACCATGAACCTCATGTTAGCCTGAGGTGTTCAGAGGTTTTATTGGGGCTCAATTATATACTGCCCACATCACTGACCTTTAGTCTACAGCCACTCCATTAGCTCACACTAATCTTTTTCATCTCTCTTTCCTCCTGGTGTTGGAACTGAGGTGTGTGTCTCAGAGGCCCCAACATGGATCACAATTGTCCAGTAGCTAAAGTTCCCAGGCAAACAGAGACATTCCTATCAGGCAAGAAGTTCCAGGGGCCTAGAGACCACCTACCCATAGCCAAGGGCAAAGGCCAGTCCTCTGTTTGGGTAACGTTAATTCTTCACTACACAGGGGTCATGGACCTCTTTGAGAATCAGAGGAGAGCTATTGATCTTGGATATATAGGCAAAATTTTATTTAATAGTTAAATTTGTATTCTACTGTGAAATGAGCCAGAGAGCTATTACATCACATAATCCCAAACATGTAATCTCCCAAACTGATAAATTCTGAAGGAAATATGCAGGGAGCCATAAGAATATATAAAAGAGGGACCTGATCTAACTTGAGGGTCAGGTAATCAATGTTTAAGATTTGAAGGATGAGGCTGGCCCGTGGCTCACTCGGTAGAGTGCAGTGCTGATAACAGCAAGGCCACGGGTTCGGATCCTATATAGGGATGGCCGGTTGGCTCACTGGCTGAGCGTGGTGCTGACAACACCAAGCCAAGGGTTGAGATCCCCTTACCGGTCATCTTTAAAAAAAAAAAAAAAGATTTGAAGGATGAGTAGGAATTAACTAGAAAAAAGGGAGGAGTAGAGGAGAGGGAACACATTTCAGGTCTTAAGGAAGAGCCAGTGCAGAGTCCCCAAGGACAGGTGGGGCTTGGTGCATTTAAGAACCCCACTAAAAACATGACTGTTGCTTCAGAGAATTAAGAGAAAGGGGAGAATGGAGTGAGAAAAGAGCAGGGCAACTTGATCACTCAGGACTTGTGGGCCATTTAAAGTACAGTTATGTGCCACATAACAATGTTTTGGTCAATGATGGACTGCATGTATGATGGTGGTCAGAGCAAGAGGCAATACCACATGGGCGTGCAGCAGGCTGTACATCTCGGTTTGTGTAAGTAGACTCCATGACGTTCACACAAAGAGGAAGTCACCTACTGACGCATTTCTCAGAACATAGTCCTGTTGTTACGTGACAGTTTAGTCTTGATGTTAAGAATAGTAAGCTGGTTAAAGGATTTAAACACAAGTTTGACCTGATCAGATTTGTATTACTCCAGGGCTGGCCCGGTGGCGCACTGCTACAGTGCGCCGCTTGGGAGCGTGGTGGCGCTCCCGCCGAGGGTTCAGATCCCACATACAGACCGGTTCCCGCTCACTGGCTGAGCGAGGTGTGGGAGCAACACCGAGGATTGTGATCCCGTTGCCGGTCCCGGTCTGGTACGGGTGCAACACTGAGGGTTGCGATCCGTTGCCGGACACGAAAAAAGACAAAAAGGAAAAAAAAAAAAAAAAGATTTGCATTACTCTGGCTATAAGATAATTTCAGTAATTGGAAACGTGATAGCACTATGGATTTGGCCTCAGGACCCCTTTGCACTCTTAAAAAATTATTGAAGACCCCAAAATGCTTTTGTTTATATGGATTATATTTATTGATATTTACTATATTTGAGATTAGAACTGAGAAAGCTTAAATATTTATTAATTCATTTAAAAGTAACTTGTAAATCTATGGCATTTTAATGCAAATAACTTTTTATGAAAAGTAACTATTTTTTATGAAAAGTAACTTTTTTTATGAAAAAGTTTTTCATAACTTTTTTTATGAAAAGTAACTATTTACAAAAATTAAGATTAGCATTGTATTGCATTTTTACAAATCCCTTTAATGTCTGGGTTAATAAAAGTCAGATGGGGCCGGCCCGGTGGCGCACTGGATAGTGCGCCGCTTGGGAAGCGCGGCGGCGCTCCCGTCCGAGGGTTCGGATCCCACATACAGACCGGCTCCCGCTCACTGGCTGAGCGAGGTGCAGGAGCAACGCCGAGGCTTGCGATCCCGTTGCCGGTCCCCGGTCCGGTACGGGGGCAACACTGAGGGTTGCGATC